TAATGGCTAAGGCACTTGACTGCTAACCGGAAGGCTGGCGGTTCAAACCCACCAGCCACTCCTCGGAAGGAAGGTTGGGCAATCTACTTTCATAGTGATACCACCTTGGAAACCCAAGGAGGGGTCGCTATGCGTCGGATCTGACTCTACAGCAGCGAGTTTGGTTTTTTTTGCTTGATGCTCTTTCTAAAATCTTAAAAATTCTGATTTTGGAATCACAGCACATCCCCAAGGATTCTGGACAGGAATTGTGGACCTGTAAGTGTTGGTATATAGTAAGAGTCTCGCGGATGCTTTTGGAGAGAAGGCATGCGGCATGGAGAGGCTCACAGAAGGTCATGGGTGGATGTGACCAGGCACAGGAGGAAGCTTAGGAGAAGCAGCATTGGAAGCCAAAGGGAGACCTGGCCCGTAGTTACCTGTCTCTGGAGCCTCTTGTGGTCGGATTTTCTTGGCCAATTTCAGGGCTGCTTCAAGGTCATAGACTTGGGAGCGGGTGAGCTTCAGCTCCCTGCGGAGCTCATTAATCTCCTTGATCAGGGAGACATTTTCCTGCAGGAAAAAAAAAAAAAAATGAAGAAAGAGCGTCTGGATGAAAGCTGTGGGCACAGGGCCTGTGGGGAATGTATGGTGTTGGGCCTGGGCTGAGATTAACTCTAGTTCCTCGATTGGGGCCTCAGTGTTTATCCCAGCTCGTGGTTCAGCCTCTTGGGGTACCAGCTAACTTGCCTTCAGGTGGACCGTGGTGAAGTAAGATACAAACAGCTGCCCCATTCTCATCCATCCACGTTCTTTCCAAAATCAGTGGCAACTACATTTTTCTAAGCAGTTTCTATGCATATAGTATTTTAAGTATCACAGTAACCCTATGGGTAAATAGTATTACAATCACAATTTTACAGAGGAGGAAACTGAGGCACAGAGAGGTTGTGTAACTTACCAAGCAAGTAGCAGAGCCAGAGCCAGGATTCCAACTTCAACAGTCTGGCTCCAGAGCTCTAAGCTCTTAAGGACTGTGTTATACTTAATTATTTCTTCTTCTTCTTTTTATTCATTTGCTGAACATACATTTATAGGGTACCTGTTAGGTCCTTGGGATGCAGATATAAATAAGATATGGTTTCTGTCCTCAGCAACATGCAGGTTGGTGAGGAACATCAAAAAGTAAATGTATAATGAACATCTGCCTCATCCATCGGAAGTTCATTATTCTTGTTTGTGTCTGATAAATATCCATCCATTTACTCATCCAATATTTATTGAGTACCAACTAAATGCCACATGCTATCCTCATAATGGGGAATTCAGAATGTAAGGCCTAGCCCCTGCTATTGATGAGTGTACTATGTAGTGGGGTTTCTGGGCACAGTTAGTGAAGGCCATCTTGCTGTGATTGAAGAGTGGGACACAGAGAAAAGGTACTGAGTCCTATCTGAATGACCCAGGTGGATTCCGGGAATTGGCCCCTGGACTGAGGCTTGAAGGAGTTTCCAGGAAGAGGGAAAACAGTGTCCCAGACAACAGGAAGAGCAGGAGCAAAGGTACAAAAGTATGACACAGCTTATGTGTGGGGGGCCTTGCAGAAGTTTTGTATCACTGCATGAAGTACAAAGAGTAGAGAAGAGAGAAGATGAAGAGTTTGTTGGAGGCCAAGTTGTGCAGACTCTGAACTCTGGAACCAAGTAATCTCTTCTCTCCCTGCTTCTTAGATCATGACCTTCCGTTTCACACGTGACATGAGGGCACTGACAATGGCACTGTGGGGGTTCCCTATCACCATGGGCCCAAAGAGCCTGGCTACTTTGCTTGTAGAACCACTTTTCTTGTAGAACACCAGCTTTGTGTGTAGAACTCACAGCAGCACTTTTCATATGATGCACGGTGCAAATGAGTCGCCTAAGGATCTTAAATGCAGCTGATTCAGTAGATCTGGGAAGGTTCTGAGAGCCAGCTTTTTTTTTTTTTTTAATTTTTATTGTGATTTGGGTGAAAATTTACAGAGCAAATTCACTCTCCATACAGCAGCTCACATACACTTTGTCTCATGACATTGACTACAATTTACCACAAGGCAACAGCTCCCCTCCCACTTCCTCCCAATAGTTATCTCTTCCCTGTGTCCTTCACCCCCATACACTCCTGCCCCCTGAGCTGTCTACCATGCAAACACAACCCTTCTATTCTCCCATGATTGATCTCTCCAAGGAGTGTATCTGCCTAATGTAAATGTTCAGCTCATGTCTGTCTTTTGTTTGGCTGGAAGCCACAGGCTGGCTGGCTGGCTGTCACTGCTGTTGAGTTGGACCCAACTCATAGTGACCCCTTCTTGGGTTTCCGAGGCGGTATCACTAAGGAAGTAGATCACCCAAACTTCCTTCCGAGGAGTGGCTTGTGGGTTTGAACTGCCAGCCTTCTGGTTAGCAGTCTAATTCCAGACCTGAAGGGCAGCTAGGGCCATAGTCTCATTGGTTCCATTGGCTCCATCAGACCAGAAAATCTAGTCCCTTTGAGAGTCAGCATTTTTAACCAGCATCCAAGTGATGCTGCTGGTGGTCCATGGGTGAGACTACACTTTGAGGAGGAAGGCCTTCAAGGACCTGAATACTAGAATGCAGGCTATGTCACCTGTGCCAGGAACAAACTGCACTTCCACTTGGATGTTACCGTGGCAGTGGTGAGTGTGGAGTCAGAGCCCAGAGAATCAGATGATCCCAAGCACTAGTCTCACTAAACCTTGACAGGTAGTTCTCAGCTATGAAGATATACCTGTGCCTGAGCTCAGGCCGAGAGCTAGAGCCACCCCAGCCAATTCTTTCCCTCCAAAACGTTTTACGTAAGTACTGATGTATACCTTCACATTTTCAGTATATCACTTAATTTCAGCAATTCTCATTTTAAAAGAGGAAAAAGAGGTGTCCTTGGATGGTCCCAAGGGTTAAGTGCTCACCTACTAGCCAAAAGGTTGGCAGGATGAACCCATTCAGAGGCGAATCGGAAGACAGGCCTGGCAATCTGCTTCTGAAAGGTCACAGACTTGAAAACCCTACAGAGCAGTTCTACTCCGCACACATGGGACTGCTGTGAGTTGGAAGCAACTTGATGGCAACTAACAACAACATTAACAACAACAACAAAATCATCTGTCCATCAACAGATGAATGGATAAACAAAAAAGTATATACACATAGTGCAGTACTTCTCAGTAGAGAAATGAAGTCCTGATGCATGCTGTTCAAGGATGAACCTCAAAGACATCATGCTGAGTGAAACAAGTCAGCACAAAAGGGTAAATATTGTATGATTTCATTTATATGAAATAAGCTAAAACACAGAAATTGAAGATTAGAGATTACTAGCAGTGGGAGGAGGGGTCGCTATGAGTCGGATCCAACTGGATGGCAGCGAGTTTGGTTATTTGGTTTTAGGGGTGGGAGGGAATGGGAGAAGGGGAGTTTTTGCCTAGGGGGGCACTGAGTTTATGTTAATGGGGGAGGACCAACTCCAAAAAGGAGGGTGAGAATTGTTCCACAACTTGAAGCATGTAATCAGTGTCACTGAATTATATGTATAGAAATTGAGATGGCATATGTTGTGTTCTGTATATTTTCATTACAATAAAAATAATAAAAATCTCTCCCACTTTGATGAAATGCTCGATCATTATTGCCTGCTACTCATTCTCCAGTCTAAGTTTTGTGCTTGTTTTTCTAAAAGTCAGCAGGTTTTCTCCACTGATCTGTTACCTGTTAACTAACCCAGGCCTTGGTAATGAATCTCCCACATTCCCTTTCCAGTAAAGTTCTTTGTCCCTTCTCTCCCCTGGAATTTCTTCATATCAACTTTATGTGAGGACATGGTCAGTTCAATACATATTTATTGGACTCTGCCTTGAATGTAAAAAGGTTCTCAATAAAGATTTGTGGAATGGATAAACAAATGAATAACTAATGCAGTCAATATCCTGTTGAATAAGATAAGATCTTGACTAATAAGGAACCCCTGGGGTACGGGTGGGGTAGGGAAACCAGAAAAGAATGTCTTAGGAAAGGCACAAGGTACTCATGAGCGGGGGTACTTGCCCATTCAGGGTCTCCCTCCACTTCTCCTTTTACTTGACCTCATTTAGCTTCACTCCTGCCCCATTCAACAATGTAATCATCATCGTCATAATAAAGACTATAAACTGAAAGTATCATTTCCCCAGTTCTCTTCAGTTTATATCATCAATTACTTCCTCTTCTTGGTCATTCTCATCCATTTTGTCCCTGACTCATTGATTTTGTGTCTGCCCTGAATCTCGTGTTCATTCTTCCTGCGACAATGTGTAACTACTCTTTGTGTAATAACCTGAGGTTCTTGGCATTTCTCCCTTTACTACTATGATGAGCCCAAGTGGGGCCCCTGCTGTGGTTTCTTCCCAACCTTCTACAACCTTGTCATCATGATTGGCATCACTAGCGCTGGTACCTTTTTGCATGAATGCCTGTTTATGAACCCACTGCCAGCTTCTGACACCTCCATGGTGCCTTCTTACCTAACTGGGCCTCCAGAGCATGACTCAGTCCTTACTAGAGTGTGATCAAAGCCCATGACTCAACACAGTCTGAGTTCCCTAGTTCTCGTCATTCATTCATTCAAAAAGAAAAAAAAAGTCACCTAAGAGCCAGTTCCTGAAAGCCTCCTATGCCCTGGGCATTGTGCCTGCATGGGAGGTCCAGCTTGGAGTCAATGTGCAGAGATGCCATGAGAGAGAAGTACTGTGCCAATTGTAAGTGCCTGAAGCAGGGACACCCAACTCAGTGTGAGGAAGGCTCCTGGGGGAAATGGAATATAGGGAAGAGGTTCCAGGCTGGAGCCAAGAGGAAGCAAGCAGAATTTGAGGCACTGAAAGCTTGATGATAACAACAACAACAAGAAAAAGAGCAATCATAACTGCAAGGATTGATTGGATCCCTGCCAAGTAGCGAGTGTTTTGCATACATTACCTCATTCAGTCCTCACAACAGCCTTAAGAGAGAGTTATTATTAGACTCATTTTCATAGGAGGAAACCAAGGCAGTGCATAGAGGTAGAGGTTGGATTTGAATCCAGCTGTGTCTGTCCCCTGAGTGCTTGGTGCTTCCATGCCTGCTGCCTCCCAGACTCTGCTGTTTCGTCTCCATTCACATCAACTCCACTCCAACACCTCACATAGAATAGCAGCCAAGGAAGCCTCAGCAGGTACACGTTGGGTTTCCCAAAGAGTGTCTTCAAGGCTAGTCTGTGTCCTGAGTGCAGAGGTCACCCTGAGGTCATCTGCATATACTTTGAATGGCTTTGTGAATTAAAAATGTGAATACAACAGGTTTGCTGAGTCTTCTATTCCTGACCTTCCTGGTCAAGATGGCCTACAAAAGCCCCTCCAAGCCTACAAACTCCAGACTCCCACCTGGCTACTTTGCTACAGCAGAAACCTGGCCTGAGGTCTACGAAGTGCCAGTTTTCAGGGTATGTAAGAGAGACTGGCCAGGGACACTTAGATCTGTTTATATGGCTGTTGTTAGATGCTGTGA